CCTCCAGGGACTGGCACTCCACCACCTCCTGGGCAGCTGGGCCACTACACTACCACTCTTTTGGAGAAGAAATGTTTCCTAATATTCAGCATAAACAACTTATGGCCATTACCTCTCATTCTATCACTAGTTCCTAACCAATCTCTCAGAGAAACACCAGCAGGACTCATCAAACCAATCAAACACTGAAGATCAAAATCAGTAAACCTTACAGCTTGAGGTCAGTGCCAACATACCCAAGAAAAAGCAGCATAGGATGGCAAAAACACCAATACCTAATAGTGTAACATATAGCAATAACCAAAGGAGACAAGATTTATTGTTCAAATCACACGCTTCACCTTTCTTTATTGCAGCATCCTCAAAATCTCATCTCTAATACCTCTAGGGTAGGAAAATGTTTCATAGGTAGAGAAGTTGGGACAAAGGACAACCATCCTGGACCCTTTCCTTGGGACAGACTGCTGCCTCCTGCAGTTTCACCCCCCAAAGCCATGCAGGACACACTGGTACCTTACAGCTGGACCATTCAGATTCTCAATTACATTCCTCTCACGAGCCTATTCCATCAGTCCTCAAAATGAGTATCTTCTGGTCTGTATTTTACCATTTAACAATTGCTTTGTGACAAAGAGCACGTGGCTACTGATGCGTGCTGCAGAGCACACTGAGCACAGCCTACATCAACACCTTGTCCAACAGACCGGAGCCCAGGGTGCCGAGTCTTCCTTCACTTCTTGTTTCCCATGATGCTTTTGCTTTTCTCTAATACGAGTTTTAAAATTTGAGGGAAAATGGGAAACAGCTGATGTTTTAAGCATGACTTGATGCCAAACTGTGGAAAAGCAGAAAAAGCAGCTATTCTTTCTAGAGACATCACAGTCTGGGAAGCCAATGCTACTGAGTGTGGGGATAAAGGGAAGGTAGGGAAAGTGAGAGGAGCAAAAGAGGGAGGAAAGTAAAACTCTGCCCTCTGAAAGTGGAAGGACAAACTGAGTCGGTCAAATTAAGAAAACGTCTTTACCTTTGCGTTTATTCTTAGCAACAGTCCTGAAATTTGAATTGAGGAATACTGAAAGATTTGCCCTCTGGAACAGAAGGGAGTAGGACAGCACTCTGGTGAGACAGAAAGTCCTCCCACAGCAGAAACTCTTCTTGAGAACGGGGCTGCATGCAGCTGCAACGTTCCACAAACATATCACACACCCACACACCACATACAAACCAAAAGCAATGAGCTAATACATAAACAAGTGCTTCAATAAATATCTTTCCCTTTTGTAACTGATAGGAGGGTATAAAATAAATACTATAAAATTAGTGAAAAGAACTGATTTTTATGACAATTGAATAAATGCTACGCTGGATGCGGAAACAACACTGAAGTCATTGTGGACACACACTTTCCTCCCACAAGAAAAATAATCAAAGCATTACAGAGCATCTGCTTTGTCCATTCAGCTCCAAATTGTCACTCACTGGGATCTGAATAAAATACGTGGGAATCTAAATCAGGACAGATTAAAGAAAATTCTTCTGTAAATGCCTGTTATATTCCTGTTCATTACAACCGTTTTCAAGTCGTCTCTCTCATCTCCATCAGAATAACATGAATTGCTGCATCTAATGTGGTGCCAAAAGTACATAAGAAAGAGCTTTCTCCTCCATAAAATACAGTAAAATAACAGCAATGCAAGCACTGCACACACCAGGTAATGGATGCTGTTGGAAGCCAGCAGGAGTCCTCCCACTGGGTCCACCAAGGACTGGCTCAGTGCAACATTCCCCACAACCCACAGTCACCCATCCCATCCTCTCGTGTGAAATGCATGACTGCCTCCCTGCTGCAGCAAATCACAGCACCTGCTTATAGGCATTGGAGCAGAGGCCAGGATAAATAACTGGATAAACAGAAGAGTGTCTATGAATTTCCATGACTTGAAATGGTCCTTATGGTTTGATTTTTGGGTGATCCTGTGTGGAGAAAGGAGTTGGACTCCTAGATCCTTATAGGTCCCTTCCAACCAGGGACAGTCTGTGATGACATCAAGTCTTCCAAGCAAAAAAATAAAATAAAATGGCACAGATGTTATACAGAGCCATGTCAAGAGTGTTTCTGAATACTTGTTCTTCAGTTTCCCCCACTGAATTGAGCTTCTGAGGATTCCAAGGTGAAAACAAAAGAAAAAAAAAAGCAAAGCTGGAAATGACTTTTTTTAGCTGAGAACACATGAAACAGGGCTCCTAGGGACTGAGAGAAGAAAGTCTTGGTGTCTCATGGGAGAGGCAAAGGGTGGCACTGGGACAGTGCAGCCAGCTTGTTCCAGCTGGGAATGCTAGAGCAACTTTACCTCCAGAGCTGCACTCCGCACAGATAAATTGAAAAGAGGACGCACTCTGGCAAAAAGAGAATGTAGACTGAATGGCAAAGATGGAAGCTATCCAAGCTATTTGAAACTCGTGCACATTATTATCTTTCTCACCTGTCACTGTTGCTCTTTGAGGAACCACAGTCTCACTTCTAAGAGCAACCCTGCTGCTGTCCTCCTGAGCTGCCCCAGCCCATCGTTTCAGGAACAATGGGCTGGTGAGCATCACAGCAAATTTTCACAACTCTGATTTTCTTTAAAGCACAGCTATAGTGAATAATCTTTTCTTGTGTTTTTAATGTTTGCAATGAATGGCAGAGAAATGTCCCAGCAAACCTGTGGTAGCTTAAATATAACACAACCAGCCCCAGGCACACACCTGATAAACTCCAGCCACTGAGAAGCCCCACAGTGGTTCTGTGCTGCTGCTCACTGCATCCCCCAGCAGTGATTGCTATTCTAACACATCCATGCCATGGGGATGCAGGGCATGGCACTGCCATCTCTGTCACCCTCAAACCACCTGTGCCCTGGGGACACATCCATTCACAGTATGGTCTTCACATCCTATCCTCTGCTCCTTCATATGTCTTACTCGTTCCACCTTTTCATTCTGTTTACTTTCTGTTAATCACCTTTTTTATGTGGCTAGAATCAAACAGATATAATGACCACTTGTTTCAGGAGATCTGAAAGAGAAACTGCATGTCATCAGCAGCAGCCCTGGCGATAATAACTGCAAAAGCAATCATGAGAAAAACCATCTCAGTAATAATGATAAGAATAAAAATTATTGTGCCACCAAGGGCTCCCAAGAGCTACCACAGCTCTGGACCAAGGCATAGTGGCTGGAAGCTGGCTCAACCTGTGCATACAGGAGCCAGTCCTCCCTGCTACAAGGCACGTGCTGTAGGAGTGCCCTGGCTAGGACACGACCCTCCCTGCAGTGCTTTTATACTCAGAAGGGAAAGACAGAGCTCATCGTGGGGTATTTAAGATCCATACCATTCCCCGCCACCTCAAGGCAGGGAGACACATCAGTGCAACTGAGGTGATGAACAAAACGAAATGAACCCACCACGGCTCTGGGGAAGTCCACCAACTGCTGCAGGCTCTGCTCTCTGCTCTCTGCTCTCTGCTCTCTGCAGGCTGGGACAGAAGCACACAGCAACAAAAAGCTGTGCTACCGCACCAGGAAGCAGCACTGATGGAAGCACAGCAGATACCACAACATGTCATCAAGGGCAGGAATGATTTGCTACACTACAGACCTTGAAAAAAAATCAGATTAGTTGACTCTTAGTAATCACCACGTATATTGCCTGTCTCATCACTGAAGGTCTCAAATGAGGTCAGCTGGGCTGAGCACAGAATGCTGTTAAAAAGAGAGTGTGCCCTTACACTTGGGTGTCTGAAACTGGAACAAATGCAGGCTGCACAAGTCACTTCATAAGCAGGTGAACACAAACACAACAATTCAACAAATGGAAGTAAACATCTTTATCAGACATGCAGCCATAAAGAACAACTCCTTGTTCCCCACAAGCATCATCAAACCAGACTTTTCATTTTCCACTAATAAACACTAAGTGTTGCCAAATTTACTGATTTCCCCCTCTGTTTTCCCTCCCATTCCTGATGCTGACTGTGAGAAGTAGGTTGTGGTTTTGTAGTACAGCAGCTCTAACACAAAGGAATAGAATTTTGCTAAACTTTCTTACAAAATGGCTGCAGGGGTTGTTCATAAAGAATCACTGGGGCATAGCTTAGTAAAGGTAGAGTAAATTTGCCAAGTAGCTTGGTTGTCAGAGTACCTAGACCAGGGCAAGGCAATAGGTACGGAGAGTCTAGCATGCACTGTCCTCCTGTCCCCCATGAAAAACACAGAAGGCCTAGTATGCACTGTTCACTTGTTCTCCATTGAAAAATGAAAGAACAACAGGTGGGGGATAAACTGATATGGAAAAATGTTTTAGCAAACACAGTGGGAAGACTATGAGCTTGATACACTTAACCAATGAGCGACAGGAGAGATATCACCCATATTGGAGAGCGGGTATTCAATGGAGGGGAACTCAGTGATAAGCTGTGCCACTTCTCCCTTGCCATAAGGGGATGTGTGCCCATTACTGCAATAATAAATACATTTGCTGCTTCACAAAGATCTCTGCCTGATGAAAAATTATTGATTCTCACATGACAGTTCACTTTCAGTGTCAGAAGAGGCCATACAGACCTGCACGCAGATCAGCTGAGAGGAACAGCTCTTGCTCTCATTTTTTCTTTCTTGTTTTACATTCTCAACAAATGAGATCAGTATCAGATCTGCATTTATAGAAATACACCCTCCTACCTCATCTGCTTGTTTCTGTGTCAAGAAATTTAGAGCTAAGCATTGGGAAAATAATCATGGCCCTGCACATTTTTTTAAAGCACAGATGGGACTTCCATGCCATTTTTATTTCTATATTTATGTTGAAACCATGAATTCAAGGAGCTGCAGAGCCAAACAACACAGAATCCAAAATGTAACAACTGTTAAGACTCTCACTGCTGCTTATTTAAGGGAGAAATAAATCAGCTTCTTTTTCTCAGCAAAACCGCAAGAAAAGAAACTAAGGATCTACTCACACTGTACGATGAGCTGCACCAAAGCTTCTCTGGGCTTCACATTGAACCCGTTGTACTGGCTGGTCTGACACCTGTAGGTGCCTGTCATCTCCCGGGACACGTTCACTATCCTCAGGATGCCATCGTAGCTCTCCATCTGCATCGTGCCATCTGGCATCGCCACCTCCTTGTCGGCACGGGACCACAGGATGATGGGCTTGGGCTTCCCTGTCACCTGGCACTGCAGCTCGATCGTGTCTCCTTCCCGTGTGACCAGAGGGGACTTTTCTTGAGGAACAGTCAGATTGGGTGGGACTTCAAAGGAGAAGAAGAGTTTGACAATTAGCATTACAGAAACATTAAGTAGCTTTCTTGCTTATACTGTTCCAATTATGTATCAAGAAATAAGGTATACACATAGAGCAATACATATTGATTACATGTATCCGGAGTCTGTGAGACACTACTTTATTTACAAGGCAAAAGGCTCAGCTGCTTGAGGTGGTTAAAATAAGATTTAACAGCCCCAGCCAAGGAACTTGCTCATCACCCCGCAGACACCCAATGTGCCAACAATGCCATACTGGTGTCTATCAGCACACTGGGACCAACTGTTACAGCTAGCCCTTTATCACCATGAATCACAGCTTTCCTTTGTATGGGTATTTGCAGTTAAAACCTTTTTTTTTTTCCAACAGACTAGCTGCTGATTTTATCCATCCCAAAGGCCACGCAGAGGAAGGATCAGGCCAATCAGAAAGCAGCTCAGAACTGACAGCCTGGAACCAAAACACAGTTGGTGTGTACATAGCACAGGAGGCTTATTCAAGCTGCACTTCTTCAGATATCTTTGCCTTAACAAATATGGAAGGAATAGGTGAAGAACTGCAGCCAACAGAATGAAGGCAACCCAGTGGGCAGGAATACTTGGCACGGCTGTGTCTAGCCCTCCTGCTCTCTGTAGCCTTGCAATTGCAAGACGACCTAATTGCAGAATCACACAACCAAAGGGGATGGAAGGGACCTCAAGAGATAATTGAGTCCAATCCCCAATTGCTGCCAACTGCATTACAATCATAGGCACCCTTAAGGATCGTCGAATCCAGCTCCTAGCAATGCTTATCTCAGCAGAGACACTGCAGGGTCTTTGATCAGAAAATCATGTGTCACCAATAGCAAAGCCAGCAGACTTCATGTGCCATGCAGCCACTGAGCACCCATGGCCACCCTCCTGGTGCAGGCAGCCCATCTGCTGTGGTGGCTGCATTTGATAATTACAAACTGCTGGAAGCCCTGCAGGCCTGATGAAAGCAGTTTTGCTACGTCCAATTATCGTCACAATCTCATCATACCTATATCAGATTTATATCCCATTTCCTACTTCTTTCTTAGCACAGGGCAAATAAAAGCACCATCTCTGAGGTCACTCCAGATCACACACCTCGCCTTTGGCTCTGAATGTGTTAGGATGGGGCGTGAAGATATGAAAAGCCCAATTTAAAAACCCAGTTTCCCTTTGTGCCCTATTAAATGTTGGCTGCACTTGCAGGCCTTCAGCCCTGAAATGAAGAGTTACAGAGCCCATTGTTTAACAGCAGTCAATTACAGAACTGCCCTGCAAAACAACATCTGAATGCCAGTGCTAACAAAATACAGC